CAGTGTCACTGGCCCTCATATGTGGGATCCGAACCGGGGCCCTCTGGCGTCCCAAGCCAGCTCTTAACCATCACGCCACTTGGCCGGCCCAATAGTAAAATCTTTTTTAAAAAATTTATTCTTAACTATTTTAATATTTTTGATGCAATCGTAAATGGAATTGTTATCTTAATTTCATTTTCAGGTAGTTCATTGCTAGTGTATAGAAATATAACTGATTTTTATGTTGATCTTGTCTCCTGCAACTTTGATGAACTCATTTATTAGCTCTAACGATTTTTGTGTGTGTGGCTTCTTTAAGATTTTCTGCATGTAAGATAATGTCATCTGTGAATATAGTTTTACTTCTTCTTTTCCAATTTGGAAGCCATTTACCCCCTACTTCTTGCCTAAATGCATTGGCTAGCACCTGAAGTACAACATTAAAAAGAAGTGGCAAGAACAGATATCCTTGCCTTATATTTGATCTTAGAGGGAAAGCTTTCAGTCTTTCATCAAGAATATAGTTAGCTATGGGTTTTCACAGATGTCTTTTATCAGTTTGAGAAAGTTTCCTTCCATTCCTCAGTTTTTTAAATTGTTTTTATCATAAAATGGCGTTGGATGTTGTCAAATATGTTTTCTGCATCAATACAGATGACCATATGGTTCTTGTCCTTTGTTCTGTTAATGTGGTGACATACATTGACTGATTTTTTTTTTAAACCACCCTTGCTTTCCTGAGATAAATCCCACTGGGCTATGGTATATAATCCTTTTAACATGCAGCTGGATTTAGTGTGCTAGCACTTTGTTGAGGATTTTTGCTTGAATATTCATAACAGATATTAGTCTGTAGTTTTTGTTTCTTGTGATGTCTTTCTCTGGTTTTTCTATGAGGGCAATATGGACCTCACAGAATAAGTTAGGAAGAGTTTCTTCCTCCTCTATTTTTTTGGAGAGTTTGAGGACTGTGTTAATTCTTCTTTAAGTGCTTGGTAGAATTCACTGCTAGTGAAGTAATCTAGCCCTGGGCTTTCTTTGTTTGGAAGTTTTTTAATTACTGATTCAATCTCTTCATTTGTTATAAGTCTATTCAGATTTTCTATTCCTTCTTGAGTTAGTATTGGTAGTTTGTACATTTCTAGGAATTTGTCCATTTCATCTAAGCTATATAATTAATTTGTTGGTGTACAATTGTTCATAGCATTCTCCTACAATTTTTTAAAATTTCTGTAAGGTCAGTAATAATGCCCCCAATTTCATTCTTGATTTTAGTATTCTGAGTCTTTTCTCTTTTTCAATTGGTCAGTCTAGCTTAAGGTTTGTCAATATTTTTTTTAAAAACCAACCATTGGCTTCAGTGATTCCCTCCATTGTTTTTCTATTCCACGTTTTATGTCACTCTAATCTTTATTACTTCCTTCTGCTCGGAGTTTAGTTGGCTCTTCATTTTCTATTTCCTTAATGTATAAAGTTAAATTATTGACTTATGGTCTTTCTTCTTCATTAATGTAGATGTTTACAGGTATAAATTTTCCTCCGAGCACTGCTTTTGCTATATGTCATAAGTTTTGGTATATTTACATTTAAGTAATTAGTAATAAGGAAGGAGTTGTTTCTGCCATTTTCCTATTTGTTTTCTATATGTCCTATCTTTTTTGGCCTAATTTCTAGCATTATTACTCTTTGTGTTAGATATTTTCTAGTATACCATTTTGATTCCCTTATTTCTTTTACCATTTATTTTTTAGTTATTTCTTAGTGGCTAACAGTTAACAATCTGCTTTGAATTCATATCACTTAGTTTCAATAGTATACAAAACAGCTCCTATATAGCCGTTCCCCCACCTCTTATGTTGTTATAGTCGCAAATTACATCTTTATAAATTGTATGTCCATCAACATACACTTATAATTATTGTTTTACATAGTTGTCTTATATGGAAAAAAAAGAACTGCAGACCAAAAACACATTAATACGTATCGACTTTTATATTTACCTAAGTAATCACCTTTACTGGTGTTCCTTATTGCTTTGTGTGGAGTCAAGGTTGTCTACTATCCTTTTATTTCAGCTTGAAGAGCTCCTTTTAGCATTTCTTATAGGACAGGTGAAATAATAATGAACTCTCTCAGTTTTTATTTATCTGGAAATGTCTTAAATTCTCCTTCATTTTTGAAGGATAGGCTTGCTGGATTATAGAATCCTTAGTTAACACTTTTCTTTCAGAACTTTGACTGTCATCTCACTGCCTTCTGGCTTCTATAGTTTCTAATGAAAAATCAGCTGTTAATCTTAATGAGGGTCCCATTAGTGGTGAGGTGCTTCTCTCTTGTTGCTTTCAGGAATCTCTCCTTGTTTTCCGCTTTTGAAAGTTAGGTTATAATTTCTTATTGTGGATGTCTTTGTGTATGTCATACTTGTGGTTCATTGAGCTTCTTGGATATGTAGATATATGTCTTTCATCATTTGGGGGGACATTTTCAGCCATTATTTCTTCAAATATTCTTTTGGCCCCCTTCTCTCTCCTCTCTTTCTGGTACTCCATTATGCATAGGTTGGTATGCTTAATAGTGTCCCATGGGCATCTGAGGCTCTGTTCATTTCTTCATTTCTTTATTTTTTTTCTGCTCCTTAGGCTATGTAATTTCAATTGACCTAAATCCAGTTTGCTGATTCTTTCTTCTGCCTGCTCAAATCTGCTGTTGAACCTCTATGGGAAATTTTTTATTTCAGTTACACTTTTCAACTTTAGAATTTCTATTTAGTTCCTTTTAATTATTTCTACTTCTTTACTGATGTTCTGTAATGGTAAGACATCATTCTCTTGGTTACCTTTAGTTGTCTGTACATGGCTTCCTTTACCTCTTTGAGCATATTTTCAATAGTGAGTTTAAGGACCAAAGTTTGGGGCTGGCCAAGTGGCACGATAGTTAAGAGCTGGGTTGGGACGCCAGAGGGCCCGGTTTGGATCCCACATATGAGGGCCAGTGACACTGCCCTCCACAGCTAAGATGCTGAACAACAGCTTGACCTGGAGCTGGGCTGCCGTGAGTCGCCGGTGACGGCGATGGCAGGTGGGTTGCCATGGGCTACCGT